GTGGCTCCAAGAGTCAATTCCTTTTGAGGCTGAAGCATGGCTTGACAAGGGGGCCTAATCTGGAAGGTCCCTAAGTCAATGGGGCTGTTGGGGGAGCAGGTCTTAGGGACCAAGGCTCAATCTGTGACCATGATGATGACCAGTCTTTGTCCAAGGGCAGGGTTCAATGTATGGATCAAGGTCAGATTTCATGTTGGGACCAGATTGAGGACTCTTTGACCAGCATCAGTCCCAGTCTGTTATCAGAATCAGAGTTCAGTGTATCGATCAGGGTCCGGGCTCAGTCTGTAACCAGAATAACGGCTTAATGTATGTCCATGATAAAGGCTCCGTCTGCGTCCAGGTCAGGGTTCAGTCTATGGACTGAGGTGAAACTCAGTCTAAGATCAGGATCAGAGTTCAGTGCATGAACCAGGCAGGGTCAGGGCTCAGAATGTGACCAGGATCAGGCTCGGACCAGGACTCAGTATGGACTCAGGCAAAGGTTCCAGTCTATGACCAGACTCAGGACTTGGCTGTGACCTTGGTAGAGGCTAAGTCTATGTCTAAGGTCAGGGCTCCCTCTGTGATAAGGTCAGGTTCCAGGTTTGTAGGTGTCATTTAGTAAATTTGGGTAACTTAACACCCTCGGCCCCGCATGTACAACTAACTCCCCACTCCTCCTATTCCTCAGGGCCTTGATCCTCAGAAAAACAAAAGGCAAAGTTGTGCCGTCTGGCTGCGCTGACTTGTCTTTATCCCCTGTCGTGTGCCCAGGGTGCCCTCTGGTGGCACTCTCTAGCAGTGTCAATTTCCTCAGGCTTGGCCCAACCCTCTGGCCTTTGCCTTTTAGGAGCTTGGCTCTGAGGGTGTCCATCCATACCCATCTAGCCAACTCTATATTCCTGCGTCCCCCCACCTCCTCACACAGAAGTAGAAAGCAGAAGTTGGCCAGGGGAACTCTCACAGACATAGGGAGCTTTTCTACCTTTCTGCCCAGAGTTGGGCATCTTGATAATTTTCTATTACAGGGGATCTGGAGTCTCAGCCGTGGGATAAGATTAATGCCTTTTACTCATTCAACAAATACTTATTGAGCACTACCTTGTACCAGGTAGCACTGAGTGCATAGCAGTGAACAAGACAGAAGTCTCAATCTCTTGGAGCTCATATTCCAAAAGTTCATTTCTCCCTAATCCCCGATTCCTAGTTCACAGACCTCATCAGCAAGGCACGGGCACCAGCAGAAGGTTGGGTGAGATTCAGAACTGGGCAACTTGGGGTCCCCTTCTCTCCCCTGGATTCAGAGGTTAGACTAGTCTAGATTCTGAGTTCCATCCTCCTCTCTTCCCATGTCTCATCTGGACTCAGGGCTTAACCAACACCCCAATGCCAGTGGCTTCTAAGTCTGTATCCCCAATGACCTCTTTCTAGAACTCAGGGCTGTAGCTCCACTTCCTATAGGAAGCTCCACTGGGCTAACAGAACTGTCATCTTATCATAGCCCTTGCTTTTCCTTAGCCATATACCCAGCTGCTCAAACCAAAATTCTAGAACTTTCTCCCAGATTCCCTTCTTTTATGCCTCTTAAACTCTCCCAACAGGGAGACCTCAAAAGTGAGTGTAGAACTTGTCCACATTACAGCTAATACTCAATCCCAGCCTGAGCTTATCTCATTGCAATAACCTTCTAACCCACCCCATTTCCCCTCCTGGCCCTCGACACTATATTTCCCACATAAAAGACAGAGTGATCTTTACAATCATAAATCAGATCATGTCACTTCCCTGCTTAAAACCCTTGGCTCGCATCTCACCGAGAATAAAATTCCAACTCCTCACCTTGGCTTACTTAGCTTTATATGTGAGCTGAGCAATACACCCCCTCCCTACCTTTGCCAACTTCATCTCCCACCCCTGTCTCCACAACTCTGCTTTCCCGGCCTGACACACGGAGGCCAAGTCCATTCTCACCTTAGGCCTTTAGCACTGACTTTTCCTGAGCTTGAAATATTCTTGTCCTAGACCTTTGCATGGCTGACTTTTGTTAGTCTGAACTCAGCTTAAATGTAATCTCTCAGAGAAGACCTCCTTAGCTATCTGAGAAGTCCCTCTGTTAAACCTTCCTATTGTGATATTCTGCACAGCCCTGCCCATTAGCTAATGTATTTTGTCTTGCTTCCTTATTTCTTTATTATCTATCTCCTCCAAGTAGAATGTAAGCTTCCCCACAGCTTATTCATCACTACATTCCCAGTGCTGGGCACATAGTAGGGCTCAGGAATTATTTGTTAAATCGATTAGTAAAAAATGGTCCTAAGTGACTGCCTTTATTTCTTCAACTAAAAAGAGAGCAAGGGGAGCTGAGTTTCTGGCCCTTAGTGGGCTCCCTCATCCAGGCCATCAGTAGCTCCCTCTGGGAAGTAGGGTTCACTGTGTCACCCTTGAGCACCTCCAGGCCCTAAGGAGCACCCCTCCTCTCAGAAAGACCAACTGTGTGTCTTCCACTGCCTCAATTCTGAGTCTTAGGGCCAGGAGGGGGAGTGAGAGGATTTAGCCCTTATCCCAGGCTCCTCTGCAGTGTCCCCACAGGAGTTGCCAAACCCTGCTCAGATTCCTCAAGGTCAGGGAGCTTGCTGCCCCTGTGGTTTCAGAATCATGTCCTCACCTTCCACCTTCAGAAGCTTGCCCCACAAGTGGTCCCCTGGAGCCTACCTGGGAGGGGCCTACAAAGTTTTGGGGACAGAGCAATCCTCCATCTTCCCTGTCAGAGTGAGAGTGGGGCTGCTGTTGGGCCTTGCTGGCTGCTCAGTGGTGGCCAAACTACCCTAGGGTAGTACAGGGTGTGAGGGGAGGTGTCCCCCAGTGTGGCAGGCCTGGAGAGATATGTGGGGTGGGGGTAGGGGGTTGCTAGGGCTGGCTGATTGAAAAATGGGCCCTAGGATACAGAGAATATTTTCTGGTGTGCCTATGGAAAGGGAGGGAACACAGATGGGACCAATGATGACCTTCAGTTGGGGGTGGCAGTGGAAACGGGACTACAGCCCTGATGGTGTAATTCCAGGCCTCTGCCAGCAAATGGGAGAGGGGTTTGGACTGGGCTTAGCATTCTAGAGCTAGAATCTGGGGTGCCTTCAACTAAGAAGGTGGTGAGAAAAGGGTGAGCCAGACCCCACTCCCAGGCAGCATCAGCAGTGGCCCCTTGCCTCCTACTCTACCAAGGCAGCAGGTGGCGTCTGAGGCTGCAGACCAGTGAACCAGAAGAGACAGGATTGGAGCCTGAAGCAGGACTGGAGCCTATGGAGGCAGCCTTCTTTACACACACACACACACACACACACACACACACACACACACACACACACGGTAGGTGCAGGAAAGTGCTTTGAGAAGAGTTCATTGCCTCCAGGAGCTAAATGTTTCAAAGGTTAGGGCCCATCGACCCATGTGAATTAATAGAGATGATCTGCTCAACAGCTACTGGGATAGATTCACTCTTCTTCAGGTCAATGGGAGGGGGAGTAAGAGGCTGGGAGGGAGTCAGAGGAAGGGAGACAGAGCCCCAGGGCTGGTGGGAAGTGCCTAGGTCCTGGGAAGAAGAGCAGCAAAGCCCACCCTGGAAAGAGAAAGCCAGGCTGATGAAGCCAAGAGTGGATGACAGGGAGTCGCAGCCAGCAAGGGGTGGTGGGCCAGTGTGTACCAACATCACTGGGTACTGCTGGCCTAGATCTCTGCAGTGTCTCCCCCCCAGTCCCCAGCTCCCTTGCTGCTTCTTGCAAGGCAGCCTCCATTTCTCTACCAGATGTCCTCACTCACCTGGACAGAACACAGGCTGAGCTCAGACTCTGCAGGCCCAGCCAGGCCAGGAGAAAGGTCTAGGCTTTACATAGGCCTGGAGAGCCCTTCTTTCTCACCACTCCCACTGGGTGACCCACACCTCAACCACCACTACACACACACACCCACACACTCTCACATGCATGTGTGATGACAGACAGTGTCACCCAAATACTCCCACGTTCCCCATCTCACACACGTAGCCAGGCAATCACCCACAGGCACACTCACATATTCATCCAAACCCCCAGTTCGACACATCTGTTTTCAAGGATATTCACAGGCACCCCCTGTCTCAGACAGTCTTTTGTTCACGAAAGACTCCTCTCCTGTGGGGCCCCTTTCTAGGTCTCCAAGAGGATGAGAGGACCTCAGAACCCAGGGTGCTTAGCCAGAGGCCCTGCAGTCAGCCCCTCCCTCCTGAGATACACCACTGCAAGGGATCTGGCTTCAAAGGAACTTTATTGAGAATCGAGGCACAGTGGAATGCACAGTGAGGGACACACTGAGACTTTCAGGGTCAAAAGAGCCCCTCCCCACTCACCCCTGATGGAGCCCCAGCCTCAGCTCCCCTTGCTCTAGTTAGGCATAAAGGGTGGAGTGTGCTTGACCCAGCTCTACCTTAGGTACTGTCTTGGCTGAAATCAGACACCCCCACCTAACTCATTCCAAAAGGTCATGTTGGTGTGGAGACAAGGAGGGTGGGGAGGAGCAGAGCGGGGAGCCAGTGACCTTTCACAGTGTTAAGGGGACAGGAGAGAGCCCAGGCTGACACTGCTCTCCTTCTCTCCTCTTCCTCCCGCCCCTTGAGGGTGTGGGCCTTGCTAGTAGATAGTTAGGCCCTCTCAAAGTGGCTGCGTTCAGTGCCCACATGCCATGGGTGGTGGTGGTGCTAGGGAACCCAAGTCCAGAAGCCCCGTTTCACCAAGCCTGGGGAGTGAAGTAGGGCCTGGCAGACTCCGGCTGACTCCACCTAAAGGGCCAAGGCACTGCTCCTTCCTGGGGGGCGGTGCCTCCACACCATCACCACATTCTCCCCTCCAGAAGTTCCAGAGATGGGACAGATAAGGCCACCTGTGCCCAGCACCCAGCCCTTATGAAAATTTCCATTTTCTTGTCTTTTCTTTCTCCTCTTTTTTCTTACACGGCACTGAACGGAGGGGCCCCAGACAGGACCCGGTACGCTAGGGGGCGGCGTGCTCCCGGGGCAGGTTGAGCCGCACAGTGTCGGTACGCGGCGTGTAGGTGGCTGCAGGCATGGGGGCGTCTAGGGCGAAGGGGCCGGGGCCGGGGCTGGAGCGGCCGGAGGACGCGGCCGAGGCGGCGGGGCTGAGCTGCACCGCGGTGGTGTCCTGCGCCGTGCGCTCGCTGCTCTCCATCTCCAGCGCCACGGGCCCGGCGCCACCGCCGCCGTGGCCCTGGTCCTTGGCCGCCGCCGAGCGCGGGCGGGCCGCGGGGCCGCGGCGGCTACACGCGCAGCAGGCAGCGAAAAAGCCAAATGCCAACACCAGCAGCGCGGGTCCCACGACCAGCGGCACGTTGTGCCCGGACACGGAGGAGGCGAAGGCACCCACCAGCGTCACATTCACGCCTGCCAGCAGCACGCACAGACCGCAGGCGCAGCACAGCGCTGGCGACGGCAGGCCAGGTAGCCGGCCCTGGGCACGGCCCGGGGACGCTCGTGCAGGGGGTTCTTGGCTCTTTCCTGCCGGCGGCATCGGTCTAGGAACACTCATCAAGATCCCTCCTGCCGCTGGCCCGGACCAGCCCCCATGTCAGCAGCCGAGCTCACAGTCGTCCTGTGGACACAGAGCGAGAGGGCGGGGTCAGCAGGGCACCTCAGCTTCCAGCCCCACTCTCAGTTTTGGAGCTGCATTCGGTGCCTGGAAGTGCAGAGGCTATCTTGGCCAGCCCCCTGCCTCTGCCTCTGCCTCTGCCTCTGCCTCTGCCTCTGCCTCTGCCTCTGCCTCTGCCTCTGCCTCTGCCTCTGCCTCTGCCTCTGCCTCTGCCTCTGCGAAACAACACACCCAACACACTCGCGAAACAACAACACACCCAACACACTCATTGTTTCCCCGCCCAGTCCCTGGACTTGCTCTGGCTAATTTTGCCATCCTCTCATCCTCCTCTCGCTTCCAGACAGACACAGCCCTCCACTCCCTCTCCTCCAGGAAGCTCTCTTGGACTAATCGAGTGAATGGCTGTAAAGTGCTCAATACAGTGGTTAGGTGTTCATTAAATGATAATCATTATCAGTAGTTCTAATTAGAGGGCAAGTGGCAGCTCTTGGGAACTAGACAACTCCCTCTCTCCAGTGATAGAGGGGTTTATAAATCATTTGGTGTAGCCTCTCCTTGTCTGGATGAAGAAACTGAAGCCAGAGAAGTCTAGCAATTTACGGAAGATCCAGGACCAGGACCTAATGACCTGCACCTGGCCTGTGTGTCCCCACCCTAGGCTCTGGTAGGTATAGCAGTGACATTAACTTTCCTGAACATCAGATGAGGCCCTGGAGTGAGTGGTCACATGAGAGTGAGGAGCTCCTGATGTTTCAGATGGCCAGTAAGAAGGGACAGTCCCTATATAGGCTGGGTTGGGCTGGAACAGATCCAAAGCCCTGGGTCCTTTCTAGACTGGGCATTCTGTGAGATTCCAGGCCTTCCCCCATCCCACCTCCAGGATTGTACTATTGAATCTGGACTCAAAGCCTGATCACTGGATGCTAGAATTCCTTTCTAGGAGTCTCTAGTTTTATCTGGTTCTGGTATCTATCACTGGATTATAGAATTCTGGAAATACATGCAGAAGCAAAAGGAAAGTAATCAGCATCTAGGGATTTAAGACTTCTATTGAGAATTCTGTTCTATAATATGAAATCACAGGTATGAAGTCCGTCAAAGAATGAGATCATAGCTATGGAGCTGTGTTGGAATTGTGAAAAAGGGCCCTGAGTGGGGATGAGAGGTGTATAATCAGATGGTACCACAGGTAGGAGCAGAGCATGCAGGTGAATATTAGAGCATGACTTTGACAAGTAGTTTCTCTGTACTTCAGTGTTAACATCTGTAATGTGGGTCTAATAAGAGAACCTATCTCATAGGGTGTATTGATACTTAAATACTTTAAGCTAAATCAAATGCTTAGAGCCTGGAACATAGTAAGAATTCAGCAAATGTTAACCATGTTGTCATTGTGCTGGTTGATAGAGAAGGGGGCTATAAGGTCTCAGATCTGGGAGGCTGGTCTTACCAACTTTGCAAACAGAACAACTGGTCTGTCACTCAGGTGGAAGTCCCCTAGTGTCCAAAGCCTGTACACAGTGGGATTGGAGATAATTTGAAGACTAGGTGAGTGAAAACAAGGGCTAGTGTCAGGGAGAGGCAGCTTGGGTCCTCACTCTAGATACAGGTTGGAATCAGCATGGCTCAAGCAAGTCAGAGAGCCTGGGGGGCCACCTCCCTGTCTGCCCAGACTTCATGACTTCAGGGCTCTCTTCCCTGGCACCATGGTGAGAGGTGGCAGTTCTACTGGGACTCCAACCAGAAGCACCTGGCTGACAAACTAAGCTGGCAGGAATTCAGAAGTCCCAAAATCATGGCAAAGAAAAGCACCTGTTGACCTTTGAGGGCTTTTCAGACCACAGATTCTTTAGGAAGCTCCCCATTTAGGAAGCTCTTTAACCTACAGCTGTTGGTTCTGCCAGGCAGAAATAGTAACCACTAAAAAGGTACAGTGATTTACAGTTTGCAAAGCACTTCACATTCTTGACATTACTGAATGGCACAACTGTTTTATACTTATTAATCAGCCGCATTTTACAGCTGAGGAATAGAAGCTCAGAGAGGGAAGTGGATCTGGGGTCTCATGGCTGGACTAAAAGGAAGATAAGACATGCTGAGGCCAGTCAGAGAACACATGATCTGGTTCAAACTGTGTGCAATCTTGCTTCATCTTAAAGAGAAAGGTTTGATCCCCTTGGGGTTGGTATAGAGGTAAAGCCCAGCCTCTTTTTCTATTTGCTTTCATGAGGGGCTGTGAAATTCCCCCAATTTTACCCCTTTTCATGCCCCTCCCACCTCATCAATATTCAACACTATCTGACAAAGGCAGGTCTTCCTTCCTATGGGGAAGTTTCAGTCTGAGGCTGCTGGGGAGAGCCTCTGAGGGAGAGGATGGAGTCTGGCCCTTCATCGCACCTCACAACGGACTCCTGAAAGCTGACACTGGATAAGGGAGGGAGAGGCTCTGGGTAGCTGGAGGGTCCAAGGCTCTCACTTATTTTCCCTTACAGGGAAGACTCTGTCTTTGGGTTTCAGCAGTTTTACTATGATGTGCCGAGGTGAGATTTTCTTTGTATTTATCCTTCTTGGGTTTCCTGGTGCTTCTACAATCTGTGGCTTAAACCACTATCCCCCAGTTTTGGGATATTTTCAGTCATTGTCTTTTCCCCCATTCTCACTCTCCTCTCCTTCCGGGACCCTAATTGTGCACATGTGCAACCATTTGACATTATCCGATGTGTCTCTTACACTCTACTCTGTATGTCTAGCCTTTTTTTTTTCTCTGTTTCTCTTTAGTTATTTTTCTACTGATCTGCCAACCGTTTTACTAATCTTCTCTTCGCCTGTCTTCTCTGCTATAAAATTCATCTTTTCAGTTCTTAATTTCAGTTCTTAACTTTTCAGTTCTAGAATTGCCACTTGATTATTTTTCACAGATTCCATTTTCCTGTTGAAAGTCTCCCTCTTCTTATCTATTTTTTTTTTAACATATTAAACCTTTTAAAGTCTATGTCTGAAATCTCCGACATCCAGATCTCTTGTTTCTATTGTCTGTTATTATTCTTGCTTTTTGGTCATTTAGTCTTATCTTCTGGAATGCCAGATAATTTTTTTTTAGGTGACGTAACTCTTGGTTGACCTCACAGATTGCAAGGACCTTGTCAGTTTACAATCCCTTATTTTTTACGCCTACAGCACCTGGTCTTCCTAGGTGGTCTCCTATCCAAGTACTCACCAGGCCCGACCCTGCTTAGCTTCTGAGATCAGATAGGATCGGTCTTGTTCAGGGCGGCATGGCTGTAGATCAGATAATTTTTTATCAAATGTCCAACATTGTAGAGATTGCATGAGGTTCTGGATGATGTTATCTTCAGCTGAGGATAAGCAAAAGTAAATCTCCAGAGAAGATCTTCTCTGGAGATTTACTTTTGCTTCTGACAGGCAGGACAGGTCATTTTAACCCAATCTGGGATTGCACTGACTGAGAACTGTGCTTCAGTCTTTCTGAGTCTGGTCTATATCTGGTTAGCCAGTACTCCCAGAGGATAGCCTTTTGCCCGCCCCCTGCCACCTGCCCCATCCCAACAAAAAGCCGGAGGTGTTTAACAGGACCACTCCCCTTTTCAAGCCCTAAATTCCAATTCTGACATCCCAATTCCATGGCCCCTGCCCCTTACAAACTGGAAAATAAATGCCTTAGAGGAAAAAGTGAAACCGAATATTCTTTTCTCTCCAAGATCTTGGACCCTTCAAGTCCTTACTGCCTTGGTGGCTCTCCCATGTCCTTAAACAGAGTCCTTAAATGTTTAACATTTTTACTTATCCTCAGTGAGTGAGTTGGTCTGATACAAGCTGGTCCATCTTAGCCAGAAACAAGTCTAGATGAGAATCTGAAATTAGTACCATCAGATTGTTAAATTAATTGTGCTATGCTGAGTGCTTGCAATAACGTATTACTGTTATATCCCCATTTTATAGATGAGGATACTGAGGCACAGAAAGATGAAACTCATCCAAGACCACGGAATAGCAGTGGTGGTGCCAAATTTGAAACCTGGTGTCCTGACCCCAAAGCCTGCGCTTTCAATTTAGCAGTGCTTGTTAGCTTTGGTAAATGCTTGTTGAATGACTGAAACACAGAGAATAGGTTCTCCTCAAGGCCCTGTAGATAAGCTCCTGAAATTAGCATTTACACTGCTCAAATGTCAACAGCAGAGGAGGAGACAGGGGGTATTTTGTGTGATTCTCCAGAAGATAAACTCACTTTGTTCCTTCCTTGGCTTAGCACATCCAGTTCAAGAAAAGCAAACGCCTGCCCAGCGGCTGAGCTTCCAAGTGCTAATTGCCAATGAATGAGTCTTATCTGCTTCTGGTTGGTGGGGTTGACTGTGGAAGATAAATCTATTCCCAGAGTCTCCACCCCAGGCAGAGAAAGAACTAAGGACCCTTCCTGTCTCCATCCTGGTTAATTGGGATCTGGGGTGCACAGGCGTGAGGTGTTGAGGTCACTCAGCTGTTGCAATTCAATTTTCAGCACCATTTCAACCTGGTGGGCTGAGGCCCTCCAGTTGGGGCTGTTGCAGTACTGGATACTGTTTTGTTGCTCTGGCTAGCTCCATTGTGGGGTGTCACTGATGCTATTCACTAAATCTTTCTGGTTCTGCAGCCTTCTGAACACATGTTAAGATTGCACTTCAGGGCCAGTTTGTGATTAGGTGGGGCTGTGTGACTAGTTCTGGTCAAAGGATTGTGACATGCATCACTTCAAGGCTGGAGTATTTAATTTCAGAGGCAGGATCCTCCCAGTTGATGCTATTGCTATCTCAAATCCTTCAAGCTGTTTCTACTTCATCTCAAGCCCAGCCCTCAATTGCATTGCATGAGCAGGAGGGAAGGTCATTACTGTGAATCTTGAGTTGCTAGGATTGGAATAGTCC